CTCTGTTTGTATACTTGTATTTGTTTATCTCATTATTTATCGGTATTTTACACATTATTTACTTTGTGTTGTCAAAATTACTCTTGATTAAATCGAGTTTGACTGTTACCAATCCTATCTGCGTGTGCTTGTCTTATAGATTGGTTTATCTGATTAAACGATTGCCCGAATTATGATTTCTCTAATAGCATTTTTAATCGGAATTTCGACTTTGCATTGCGTAAACGTAATAAGTCATTGAATGTGTACGAAATTAAACAGATATATATATCCGGGATCAACGAAGTATGTAGTCAATTGTTTTTTCTGTCAAGCTTTATTTTCACCCTACTGTATAACATAGGAAATGCTTAGTGAATGTGAGATGTAAACTTCATTCGGTTAGTCTGTTTTACTTGCCTTCCTGTCACCATGATAAGGCAGAATTACTCGAAATTTTGGCCTTTGGGTTCGAACCCCGTTCTTCACCACCTTTGTGAAAATCTATAAACTCTGTATAAGTACGTTCAGTTTTTTAACTTCAAAATAAAAATTTTCCCACTAGTACACTTGGATGAGTTTGGTGGTAGAGCCATAGTTTGACTTTGAACCACTGAGTCATCTGTTCTTATTCTGATTTACCTACTTTCCAATCTACAATTCACCAGCTCTTACACTATGGATATGACTCAGAAATAATTACAAATCCTTTGTACTTGGTTAGCAAATAGGATTAGAAATTTAAGCGAATGAAACAGAAAGTTCTGGTAATATCGAAGTAGAAACTATCAGTCGATATTAATTGCTTAATGTTAATCGGAATATATTATCATGCTTTCGTAAGTTGAAAATTGTGATTTTTTGATATATTAATTAACAAATATTTTTCAACTTTTATTTAGGTTTAATACTTTCGATGGTAGTACATAGTTTTCATACATGGCTTGTTACAGGAACCAGTCGTGGGCATCTTATATGTTGGGATTTAAGATATAAACGTCAGATAGCTTATACAGAACATCCATACCAACCAGGTATAGGTATTTTAGATTTACAAATAGCTGAAACTCATTCTCGGTTTGAACTGGATAAAAGGTATGCTGGTCAAAATCTCGCTCAGTCATCCGAAAAGTTATATCAAGTAGGACAAACGTTGGTAAGTTGTTAATTTCATTTTATATATCCTGCATTATGGATGAAATATGATACATGATAAAAACTAAAAACTATTTGACCATTATCGTACTATACAAGGTCTGTGCACGGATGATGTCATGTTATATTTGTATTGCACTGCCTAAATTTGTTTTAGAGAAACATCTACATTAAGATAAAGTTACAGGGTTCTGATTTTGGGACAAACTATAAAGTTATCATGTTTCTTGTGATATGACGGTGTCCTTAGGTGAAAATATCTCCAACAAGGTATTTTTCATAAATTTTGAGCAGTAAGAACTTATCCCAAGTGTTTTTTGAAATATAATTCGGAGCATTTATAAGACTGAATTTTGTCAGATTTCTCCATCAAGCAGAACTATATGATCCGCGTACTTCAAGTTGAAGATTGGATCTTTAAAGAGATGGTCGACTACTGAAAATCGAAATGTAGTGTTATTTCTAGAGAGGCATCTATCGAACACCACTTACTATTACTAATTTAGATTACTGTTTGGCATTATCGCTGATATGATCAATAATGTTCCAGAGCAGAGCTTTCAGATGTAAAACAATTTTGACACTGATTCAAGGTACGAACACTGCCACGAGACTTCTTGGTAGACAGTGTCGCATTCAGGCTAAGTAATGACTGCAGTCGAGCGTCGGTATGCATACCTGTTTTAGAATTTTTTCCGTGTAACAACTTCACATCTACGTCCAGATCCTAAACCTTCGATCGGAACCTATTAGATAGAATAACATCCTACTGAGTTTAAATGGTAATATTGAGTCATCATACTACGATACCTCTGAAATTAATTTAGAAAGTCATAATGTTTTCTCGCTCGTTCAGGATTATTGTTTTCCCAACCTTTCTAACAACTGGTGGTTCTTACGCATATCTTGCATTGATGGGTAATGCATGTCAACTGTCTAAATTGTTAATTAAAGTGTGATTGGAATAACACCTTTCTTATTTTAGAGGCCTTATTGGTAAATAGCAGTGTACTCTACAATGTTATTTTCTTGGATGAGAATAATACTGGTCACTGAAACACTGATTTTCTAGACGTTGGAGTTGGATCTCTTCATATGACAATCAAGGATAAGGCACAAGATGTCTTTTTGGAATTTTAAAGCTTTATTTACAGTAACCTGTAACTTCTTATAAATCTAACCTCTAAAATTTTATTTAATAGATTATTGCTGCAACCGATCATCATAATGAAGTGACAATCTGGGACTTGGAGTCCTCAGCCACAGCGTCATCATCTGCAGCTATTTCATCCTGTAATTATGGGCTCTCCGGTTCTTTCGCACCAGTTCGCAGTACAGGATGTTTAGCTTCGACGTGGGCTCAACCAGGAAATAAAACACCTCTTGTTCTTGATAGTTCTTTACCACATCGATCAGTCCGATCAATTTTGTGCCTACCTAACAACAATGTTATACCGTTTAATGAACATAACAAACCCCATTCTCAAGTTACTCATTTACCAGCTATAGTGGCCGGTGGTAATGATGCACGTTTACGGTATTGGAACTTCCGAAAACCAGAAGATTCGTGTGTTTTAGTTTGGGCTGGGATTGATGAAGCGACGCCTCCTCGACTTACCTACCGGTAAATTGGTTTTTGTCATTTTATATTCAGTGACACAGTGACATTCATTTAAGATGAACTTATTATCCAGGACGCTGATTCTGTACTCCTTAAAATAATTTAACCAATCCCTCTGGATTTTAAAAAATCCGAAAATCAGCTCTATGAAAGCATTTTTAATTGTTCAATTCTAATTTCGCCTTGAGTTAGACTGAACGTCACTCCAGAACTTTAAGTAGAGAAATAGCTACAAGTAAGGTAATAAATATACATTATCAAAGGTGTAATCTCGTCTGATTTGTTCCGAATGTTTTGCCTTTCTCACTATCCGTTTGGCACCACGATTCATAAGTGGGGGTTAAGTCATCGAAGCTTAGTTATGATATAGGGTTCCATACACTATAATGTAAAAACTGATTACTAAATCATAGTACTTTAATAGTATGCTACAGTTTACTTGAATAGAAGCCCATAATTGGTTGAGTTGTTTACACGAGTTGAAATCCCCATATCGAAATTGTGCTTATCGTAATGACTAAACAAAACCAACACATTCGTTTTCCGTATCGATATTCTTCAATTCACTTGCGAACTTCTACTCTGCTTTGTTGTACTGTTTAGCTAAATTTATGAACTAGTGATTTAATAGTACCAAATACTATATCCACTAAGCAATCTATGTAACACTGGAGATCTATTGATGGAAATGATAATTTGGTACGCATTAGCTTTGGCTAATAAATCACGAACCAGTTGGCGATAGTACTGTTGCAATTCGTCTTAAAAATGTTCTTACTGTTTGTGTAAAATAAGACAGAAAATGTGGATAGTTTTGAAAAAAATATTTATCATCAATAATGGGATGTAAACTATTTCACTAAAAGTTGACCTGAATGGAGTAACATTGTCATCAACATGAAGCCTGAGACAAATATTCATAAACTCAAATTGTCATACCCCACTAGCACGACAAAATGATTAGTGACGAGTCATGTTATTGTAGTTTCAGTTTTATTGAAAAATACTAAATACTGAGAATTTGGCTCGAAAAACAGGATATAGAGGTATGTATAAATGAGTAATACTAGGACCAGAAATCTTGGGTAAGATAAAGAGCTAGTGGATCTGAACCACTGTGATAGGTTCTGAGCTATGTCAGCCAACGTCTTCAGCCACAGTGATTGCGGTTACCGTGTGGACCTTATCCAAGTAGTCTGCATCTACTAGCGTGATTTAGACCAAGACTCATTGAATTTATAGACTGGTGTCAGTATTTTTATTTTGCCACCCTCCTAACCGAGATGACAAATAACCTACTTTTTTCAACAACAAAAAATGTTTCTACATAACTATACTTTCATTGTCACACAGGAAGTGAACTAATACCATATATATGTATTTCTTTTAAAAAAGCTTTCCAAAAAAATTGATCATTTTCTTCTATTGTTAATAGGTCAACATATGTAAATGATGTCTATGTTTTGATTGAACAAACTGATACTTCTTCCGTTAGTGATACATCAGGTAGTTTGTTAACAAAAACAATGTACACAGAAATATCACAAAAATTACAATCATCAAGTAATATAACAGAAGTATCAAATAGTGCATTCCCTGTGTCAGGACGTTTAGAATTACGTGAATCAACTAAAGGACATAAGAATATTATATCTGATTTAACTGTTCTTCAAGCAGGTCAAGCATTTCTAGTCTCTGCTTCAATGGATGGTGTAATAAAAATTTGGCGATAATATATATACTAATCATCGAATTTATTCATAAAGTATTTTCTTATTAATTGATTTCACTAATTTATTAATTAATATAAATTGTGATTATGGTGATAATAGAACAACTTTTACTTGTACACCATTTTATTTTACATATTTTATAACATAAATGAAACAACCTTGCAAATATTGTTTAAATATCGGTTATTAAAATTTAAAGTTGTGTACGTTTGTCAAAACTTTAATTCTTTTTATTAAAGTTGTTATAAAGAATTTTGAACACCAATATTTAAGCGTTAATTTCGATTTGGTTTTAACCGAAAAAGACAAAACAACATACCAGATTGTTACATATATAACATTATAGGATTATGATTCACAGAAACGATTTGTTTAATTTCGAACTGAATAACAATATAAATAAACAAGTGAATTAAAGAAAGATGTTTACATACATATAAATTTGTACAAAATAAAGAAAATAAGAAATCAAAGTGTGTTGTTTTTTGCCTAAACCAAAGGGGTTTTTTATATTACCGCTTTAATGCTAAAAGAACCATATAATCACTTGTTGTTGCCAAGTCTGAACTTAAGCAAGGTGCTGCTTGTTTTAATAAACTTAATGCAAAACTACTTGGTGCAAATAAATATACTATCAAAGATGAACGTCGTGTTGTAGTTGTTTTCTCGGAACTAGTATTCAATGATTCTTGTAGTACTTTTTCTTCATTTGGACAGATTATACCAGCTGATTGTTTTAATTTTAAATAAGCAATTAAAGTGTGTAGTGAAAAACAATGACTTATTGTTGTTTTTACATCCGTACTTTCAGTATTCGACTGATTATTCAGTTTAGATTCCTTGTCCAGATACTTATTAGTTTGCTCCATATCGGGTAATATTAGCATGAGGCATAAATTATGACGAACTGTAGATAGTACATTATGAATACGATGCGTGGCTTCAGCCATCCATGAAGCATCAAGAGTGCCTCGGCGTGAAATACGTAAAGTCGGACTGCATAGTCGTTCGGAATTACTGTTATTGTCTTTATAATCCAGTAAGTCTTGACTGATATCTTTATTACCTATTAACATCAAACAACGAAAATAAAAATGGTTATTTTTTAATAAGAACTTTCCTTTCCATAAATCCGGTTGTAGATGCTGGTCTAGTTCTTGGAGAGTGACGATTGATTTCAGGTTACACGGAATATCTTCTACTGGATTGAGTATACCGTGGTTGTCCGAGTAGCGAGGTGTGTTCCGATTATATGTGTGATACCGATTAGATATATGAAAAGATGGTTTTGCATAAGGTAAGTGTCGTACATTAGTGAGATTTTTATCACCGGCGTGATCCTCTATGCAATACTGGTTCATCGTGTACGGCCCTCCATCAAAATGTTCATTTGTTCGAATACGATAGTTATTTGCAGTTACAGGAATTCCAGTATCAGACCTAATTATAGCATTTCGTGATTCTGACATTTGATTGTCCTGACTGTCACTTTCCATGTTAGAGTCCGTCTTGTTTAAAATCTGTGGCTTTGGCTGGATTAATTCCGGGTTTATAAAATCTACACGAAGTCTTAAATTTGGACGACTGGTTGCTGAGAGACTTTTTAATTGTCTATTAGCTTCGAGTGCTGATTCACAGCTGTCATAAATGGCGATTGCATATTTACGTCTAGGAGACCAGTCAA